GAGACAATGTCAATTAGGTTCAGCGGGTGCTTGAAGAACTTCCTGGGGTTGGGGGAGAGCAGGAGGCGAGAAGACACTTCGAAGGTGAACCAGGAGATGCAGAAATACTCCAGCTTGTGCAGCACGGGTTCATCGAGCACGTTGCCGTTCTCATCCACCTCCTGGTACTCGGGCATGCTGTGGATGCACATGGTGGCTATGGAAACCAGCACCACGCTGATGGACACGAAGCTGAAGAGTTTGCTGGGGATGGAGTAGCCGGGGTTCTCCATGGTGAGCCAGAGGCGTTTGCGCACGTTGCCGCAGCGCAGCGTGCTGTAGTGCAGCAGGTCGTGGTTGATGTCGGAGATCTCATCGGGGGATGTGTCCACACTGCTGACTTCGCTCTCCTCGTCCCAGTTGTGGTGCCGGCTCTCCAGCTTGCGCTCGTGGTAGCGGTAGCTGCAGCAGGAGTCCAGGAAGAACTCATTGATGCCCCAGTACTCGATCTCCTGGCAGAAGGAGAAGACGCACAGCTCCTCCATGACGTGCAGCTTCCCCGTCTGGTAGAAGTGGAGCACGTAGAGGAAGAAGCCAGGGTTTCGGTCGAAGTAGAACTCCCTGGCGCTCACATCGTAGTCATCGCAGAGCTGCAGGATGGACTCCTCCGAGTCGCAGGAGAGCAGGCGTCCCAGGCGGGTGTCGGGGAACTTGGAGAGGGCGCTGGAGCTGAGCCGCCTTCTCAGACCCCCCACGTTGATGTTGATAACGTCCTCCTCAAAACCGGGACCCCAGAAATTTAAGGTCTTGTTGACCATGATCAGCAGAGCAGGACCTGGTTCCGCCTGCGGGCGAGACAGAGCCAGGCTGGAGGGGACGCAGGGCTCCCCCCGCTCCAGGTGCTCCCGTGGGGGAGAGGGCCAGAAGCACCCTGGGGAGCGAGGAGGGATGCTCACATGTTGAAAAGGGAGGCCCAGGGAGAGGGGAGGGCAGAGAAACAGCTTTGGGCAGTTGTTCTTCAGTGGCATGCAAGGAGGGGGAAAAAAAAGCCAATGATTTTTCCAGGTCCAACTTTCCCTTGCTTTTCTTTTAACCTCTTCAAGCTCCTCCCTTTGCTAAGGCCCTGTGGGAGGCAGTTTACTGCACCTCTGGCACCTCATCCCTGGGGCTTTCCTTGTTCAAACAGGTAATTAGTCACTGAAGAGAGGAGTTATCCCCCAAAGAGCCTCCCCTGTGGAAAAACCAGATCTCACGCTGCCCCGTGCTCATCAAATCGGTGCCGCAGTGATTCTGCCAAAGAGCTTTGTAGCCCGACTGCCTACGTTGCTAATTAGACCTGGTCAACAAGTCCTTAGATGGTGCAGCCTTCCCAGCAGCAAAGGCGGCTTTGCCAAAATCAAAGTGTTTTCACAGAAGGTGTCGGTTTTAGGGAGAATTTCAGTGGAAGAAGTGTCAAAATAATAAATCTGCTTGCTTTGTTTCCCCTTGTGTGTTCTGTCATGTAAAATATTAAGATTATTTTTATAATATTGAAACATAACAAAAACATGATTCAGAATCATTGATGACTCTGAATTAACAACCTGTATGTGGGTAGGGAAATAAAAATCAAAGTTTTGATTTGTGCTGTTTCAGGGAACCGGGCTTTTCCACACAGCAAACATTCTGTTTTCTAATGAGCAGCAGTTAAAGCATCTAATAAAGAGAAGCATTCCTACACCTTCAAATGCATTTGCCTGTCTTGACCAGAAGCTTAGAATAAAAAGGCAAATAAAAAGGTTTGTGAGCTTCCTGCGTCACCTTGAAATCAGACTTCTTCCCCCCTCCCTTATCTGTCAAAACGCCTGGGGATGCAGGGAGCAGCCCCGGACCCACACGGTCGCCCCGTTCCCGGCACAGGAGCACTGGGTGTCCCCCGCAGGGACGCTGCCTTTGCTCCCTTGGTCGAGGAATTATGTTTTTCCCCACGGGTCGGTTGCTTTGGAGAAATCCTGCTATTAGGTGTGACTTGCTCCTGAGCTCTGCTCGCACCTCAGGCTCGCTGCTGGTACCGACACGACTTCTGCAGCCGCCGATGCTTTTGCTGCAGCGGTCACTGAGGCATTTCAGACCTCCAGTCGGGCCTGTTTCCCATCTCAAAGGCTTCTGCCCCTGGTTTCAATCAGCCAGCTGCTGGTTAGAAAAATCCCTCACCTTCTCTGTCCTGTGTCACCCAGCCTTTTCAAACTTTTGTGCGACGCAGGGACAGAGGCCAGACAGGCAGCGGGAGCCAAGGGAAAGGCTGCAGCAGCCCCCGCGGTGATGCCCAGGTGCCCCCAGACCCCGCACAGGACAGTCCGGTCCGACAGCAGCCACCGAGGGCCAAGGCTGGGTCAGTGAGACGAGGCGGGTGCCCCCCCACCCCGGGGAATCTCCGTTCCCCTGCGGACCCCATTGCACCCCGGCCCTGCGTTGCTCCCAGGGCATCTCATGGGGTTAATGGGGCAAAGCCCAAAGCAGGGGAAGGGCTC